TGGGACGACACTTTGTCTGATCCACAAATTGTTGTTGTAAGTCTGGGTGTTCTTTGATTGATATATTCCTAGTGCGGGAGTTGTCTTTAAAAAAAACAAGAAAAAAGTCTGGGATCTTGGTATCGGAAAGCCAAATAATTAAACATAAACTTGACTGACAGGCAGAGTAAAGTGGCAATTTTAGGTACTGGTGATAAGCTACTTTCCCATCGAAGACCAACCCTCCCCCCCCCCCCCCTCCTCCAGGTTCCTAGGAAGGATTCAAAAAAGGGCGGCTACGCATTTGTCTCGAGTTGCATGTGTCCATGGGCGGCGGTAGTTCCTTACCATCAGGTGACCCGACTTCTCGTCTGCTCACTTATTTCACCATAAAACACTCGTGTTTGGCAGTTTATGTATAATTGTATCTACTTTTGAGTGAGGTTACCGAGACCCTAACGCCCTAATCCGGGGGAGGGGGGGTGAAAGGCCGGGAACGCACTTGTGTCTGTTGGGCACTCAATGGGCGGAATTAAACACTTACCATCAGGTGATCCCACCATAAAAAAATATCATCACATCAACAACCTTTAACATTCCACTGCTGGACATGAGCCTATGTTGTTGTTACTTAAACCTTAAAGGTTTTGGCCTACTGGCCTAATACGCTGGCCAGACGGGTTGGTATAGGGTTTGTGTCAAGATTTCCTTCTCTTTGCAATGCTGTTGTCCTGCGTAGTTTACTTCCTTAATGTGTGGGTGGTGTTCCGTAAGGGTGGTGACACTCAGTATTCTTAATGCGATGCTTCCACACACGAAGTTTAAAAAAAATATAACATAGTACAATACATACTGAAAAAACAGGCTAATTTTAAAAATATTTTATTTTTAAAAATTATATATTTAATAACATTCTTAATAATTAATATAATAAATATAATAATTCTTTACAAAACATGAATCAATATTCAACTAAATAATAAAAGCTGATCAAAATACAGAAAATTCAATGAAATATGCTTAGTTTGAAGGAACTTTCTAGAAAACTAGAGGGTCACGAGGTCCGCCGACAGCAAGCAAACAACTACTGCAGCGTCAAGTATTCCAGTATTATTCCCACTATCTTAGTACTCCACAGAGCAGGTGGTATAGTTCCTTTATCATGAGCACCTTCGTGACACTCAACGACAAGAAGAATTCGAATGAGAGTAAAGAAATTAAGTACTATTGACAAAGATTATTTAATTTCAAATCATTGGCAATACCTATTTTATGTATGGCAACTCTGCTCACTAACTGAAAACATAACGGCACATATTTCCATCTATTTGAGCTCTAAAATAAGCAGAATCACGGTAAGGCATGAAAACCTTTGTTATAAATAATATTCCAGTGCTCATCCATACTTAAATTATGAATGTGAAAGTATCTGTGTGAGAGTTCGCTTATTTGTTACGCTTTCACGCCTAAACCACTAAACAGAATAAAAAAAATCCTGCACTAATGGAAAGCTACATTATCAGAGAGTAACATACGCCACTTTTAACTGTGATAACCGACGTACACGCGGGCGGAGCCGCAGGCAAAATATAGTATATCATAAAATGAAGATAATTTATATTATAAACTAGCTGAGACCCGCGGTGTTACCCGCGTTTGTTGTTATAATCGCGGGCAACGCCGTGGGGCGAAGCTAGTCTAAAAAAAGTAGCCTAAGTTACTCCTTATGTCATCAGCTATCTGCCAGTGAAAGTCTCGTAGAAATCGGTCCAGCCGTTCCAGAGATTACCCGGAACAAACAGACAGACAGACAGACAAAAATTGTAAAAAATGTTATTTTGGCATATGTACCGTGTAAACATACATTATGCATGTAGTAAAAAGTGGTTATTTTAATATTACAAACAGAAACTCCAATTTTATTTATTTGTATTGATCAGCACAGATGTAAAAAATAGCTTCAAATACAAGCCATTTATTTAACAAAACAGATTCCATTCAATAAACTTTAATTTATCACAATTAATTTTCACTTAACCATAATAACATACCTGTAAAATTGGAATGTAAAGGACATTTAAAAGATACGTATTATTATCAGTTTTGAGGTTCATTATGAGAAATATTTAAAATTATACTGAGATTGTGCTCAGTATATTTTAATCTAAGAATATCTCAGACCTTTGGATTATAATCATCACCAGTTCACTAAGAATTCAATCAATGTGATTAACTGATTGGAATCAATGAGGAATTCATTCAATTTGGAACGAATAATTTTATATTGTTATAAATTTATAAATAAACCAGCTGACCCGCGCAACTTCGTCTGCGTCTCTCAATAGTAATAATTTTTCTCGGTTTTTGAAACATTCTTAATTGGTGCTCCACTCCTATTGGTCTTAGCGTGATGATATATAGCCTATAGCCTTCCTCGATAAATGGGCTATCTAACACTGAAAGAATTTTGAAATCGGACCAGTAGTTCCTGAGATTAGCACGTTCAAAAAAACAAACAAACAAACAAACTCTTTAGCTTTATAATATTAGTATAGATAGTATAGATTATAATATTTTTTCATCATCAACAGCCTATACTAGTCCACTGCTGGACATAGGCCTCTCCTTAGTAAGGAGGTTTTGGCCTACTATACCACGCTGTCCATACGGGTTGGTATAGGGTTTGTTTCAAGTTTTCCTTCTCTTTGCAGTGCTGTTGTCCTGCTTAGCTTGCTCTCTTAGTCGGCTCTTACGACACCCACGGGATGACTTGGGGTGGTGACAATTTGTATTCTTAATCCGTCACCACACGGACGGAAATGTTTTCTGGGTACACTTTAATTGAATAAAAGGGGTAATGATGACACGAGGGGGTCATCTATGTGCCGTAGATGGCCCAGGGTACGTCAAGTTACCAGGAATTTCCTTCCTAAGGTACACCTGGTTCTCTGGCTACTAGTACCTGAGATGGCGTGCGGTTGGATATCCGCACAGAAAAAAGGGGGGTAATGATGAATAATGATTGACACCTGGTACACTCAGAAACAAAACTATTGAAAAAAAAACATCACATCAACAGCCTTAAATAGTCCACTGCTATAAATGGGCATATGCCTCTCCTTAGAAAGAAGGTTTTGGCCTACTACACCACGCTGGCCAGAAGGTCGTATCGGTCCGGAAATACCGCAGACGATAACCCGTTCCACAGATTGGTTGTGCGGGCAAAAAGTGTCTCGAAAAGCGCACAGTATTACACAACACGTATTATTAATCGTTGAGTTTCTTTCCACTTTTGAATCCAATTTTGCCTGTATTTAGATTTATACAAAGGGTTATAAAAGGATTATTCACTAGATTCGCTCAGCGAGTATAAAAAACCTATATATTTCACTACATTGGCATCGTATGACTAATTTTATTGGTATTTTAAACATCACTGAAAAATAACAATTTTTTTTTTATAAATCATATTTTTTAAGGAATTAAATTGAATGTTACTTAATGTCTAAAAATACAGTATAGGTATTACTGGGTCATATAATTCAGTTAATTCTAAATATTTGTGACTTTACTGACATACCGTACCTACTTACACACTATTTATACACAATTTTTCAGATTTTATCACTTTCAAAATATTTTATTTCGTGTTTTAACTAAATTAAACAAAGATTAGTTACACGACACGCATAAAGTTCTAATAAAATTTAATTTCAATAAATAATTTGAAGTCCATGTGAGACTGTGGAACTTAAAATTATGACTATCTGGAAAACTGCAACCCTGTAAAAATATATACAGATATATAAATTTATTACTAAATGATATTTGTAAGTTATTAAATCTAAGAGAATAAATATATTCAATTACATTAAAAGGTTGCTGCCTTCACTATGGGAATCATGTTCTTTGGGGAATTGTCATGCAGACGCAAAAGCAGGTCAAGTCCCTTAAGCAGTAGGTCAAAAGTTAATAAGATTGAAATTTCCAAATTGCAATTCCAAATGCAAACAATTGCGAACGGGACCAATTGCAAATGGAACCAAGTGTGGATAGAACCAATTGCGAGTCGAACCAATTGCAAATGTTCTTTAGGGAAATTGTCATGCAGACGCAGAAGCAGGTCAAATCCCTTAGGCAGTAGGTCAAAATATAATAATCTTATTATGTTTTGACCTACTGCCTAAGGGACTTTAGATTCAAAAATTTCAATTTCAAATTCAAACAATTGCGAATGGAACCAACTGTGAATAGAACCAATTGCGAATGGTACCACATGCGGTATGGTGATAATCTAGATCTGCGTGAAAATTAACCAAAAAAACAACAAATCACTAAATAAACACATTTACAAGTATTTAGTATTATTAAGTATTTGTTTAGAATTATGATTTTTACACTCTGTCTACGAGTATTAGTTTGTTATTTATTTAGTTCGTATAATTTTATTCCGCCACAAAAAAGTTAGGTTACATACTGTTTATAGACTGTTTTTTTTAATCGATTGTTTTTTTTATCGAGTTCAAACTCAAAATCCTGAACAAATATAAAAGACACATTTATATACACATTATATTTTTTACTCGAGTCCTGATTTACATTACTATACAGTTCTTATATATAGTATATTGACTGTGGATACAACACAAAACCTAACTCAGGAGTTCAGTATTTCTTCCAAAAAACAGTTTGTATTTGATTATACTGACAACTAACAAACCATCAAAAAGGGAATAGACGGACTATAGTTATATAAAATATCGCTTTGATATTTTAGTTAAATGTTTGAACTTTTAGTCAAATTTTTGACATTTTAGCCAAATTTTTGAAATTTTAGTGAATTTTTTGACATTTAATCAAATTTTGACATTTTAGTCAAATGTTTGACATTTAACTTGTTTTTTTTAATACAACCACAACAGCTTATACAACAGTATATAACAGGTGTACTGTTTGTTCGTGCGCCTAATGCTTGATCAATGTTGATGCAGCAACCCGCGCAGTGGTAACTGCATTCTTCACTACAAATAAGCCACTTGGATCTTAGCAGCTGTCAAAAGTAAAAAAATGGTGTGGATTGGTGTGGTAAAAATACCCACTTTGGCAAATGCGGAATGAAAGACTGTGTTAAGAGTGCAAAAACAATAATTTTAACTAAAACCATGACTTAGTAAAAATTAAAAATTATTTTTTTAATATTCTAATGTAGTTAATATGGTATATGATATCCTATATGTGCTATATTTTTACTTAAAATCAGATTTTTAATTTATTTTGTGCATCTACCATGTTATGGCTCTGCATCGCCCTATGGTGGACTGGGAGAAAATGCCTACGGCATTAAGTCCGCCTTTGTCACATTTGTGCATAAAATGTAAAATAAAAATAAAATAAAATAAATCTCACCTAATATATGTCGATCAATACTGGGACCATCAACGAAGTGACTATCAAAACCACAGTGCAGGTCTTCCAATAATTTTTTAAGAGTTTCTTTAAAGTTCCACAGGAGGAACGTATATCCTTCTTTTTCTAGATCTAGTATCACAGCTATTAAATTCTGGAAAAAATAGAAATTAATTTTGGTTTGAATTGCGTATTTTAAACCGTATTGTTTAAATTTTTAATTTGTAACATTTTTGCTGTCTATTTTTTTATTTTATTTAAAATTTAAAGTATTAAAAATGTTACTACATCCCCTCCTTTTTTCACTTTTCTATTCTTCTTACGTACTCTTACTAGGACAGGAGGAATATCAAAGAGGTCTCAACTCACTTCGGCTACTCCGAGATCCATCGCATGCAACAGTCGCGCGTCGATTACGACAACTGTTCCGTTTGTAGTCGCATACCGTCTCACTCGCTCCTGTATGTGTTGTGAACTGGAGTAAGAGAGCGCTCCCGTTATTGTGATGGACACGCAGTCTTGGTTACCGACCTGTGTGATATAATGTAAATTTTTTATTTTATTTTTTAAAGAAAACTCCCGCACTAAGAATATATTCTGGTTCGCGGGGGACTTTACAAATATTTATTGAAGCGGACACAAATAACACTCAAACTCAGAACAACAATTTGTGGACCACACAAAGCGTTGTCCCATGTGAGGATCAAACCCATAACACTCAGCGCAGTAGGAAGCGGCGAGGTGACAGCTTAAACCAATATGACATTTGTGCATTCGAGTTAAAAAAAAGAACATGTTTTAAAAAAAATACTTAGGTTAAATAAAAAAAGTTAAATTAGTGAGTTTTACAGTAGACTAATATGATGTGACAGTAGAATAATATGATGTGTAACAAATTAAGTTACGTACTTTTTTCGTTTTCCTATTACACATTTCCGTTTCTTTTCACAAAGTTACTCTTACAGACTGCAGTTAGTTTTTCTCGTTTTTGTTTTTTTTTTCTCTTGATTTCCTGTGAATCTGTGGTAGTGATTTCATACAATGGAACGATAGGGTGTAATAGGAAGTCGGGGAAGCTTGATGGGGGTGGAAATCTTGGCCGGGCAATACCTGATTTGAGTAATCTCGACGCGCGGGCGATACAGTTGGCCTAGAGACGGTAGACGAGATGTCAGAAGGCCAATTCTCGTTAGTCTCAATTCAGTTTCGATCAACTTTCAATCTCACAACTGTCATAAAAGATATTTTTTTAGTAAAGTATTGAACATCTAACGTTGACTGTAATGTGATTATTTCGTATTGTAATCAAAAATTAAATCAGTAATTTGCTAGTCTCAGTTACATTACTATTTTACTACCAAAATATCTATTATGACAGTTGTGAGACCGAAAGTTGATCGGAATTTAATCGTGACCGATTTTTTATTACGAGAATTGGCTTTCAGATGTAATTTATCATATGCGACTGCTGTAATGCTCACTCGACTTTGAAGTGAAAACTTCTTTAGGTGTGTTTGGCATTTTTGAACAACAAACAAAATAATACATTTTATGAGATGGGTAAAAACCATTGAATTTACGACAGTGTTACCGTTACCGACACCTCTGCATATAAGTATCTACATATATCGGCCCCGTTACACGAGAGTCGAGTTTAGGCTGAAATACATTGATAATATAACTATATATAATATAAATACATATTGTATATATACGTATAACATAAGATATATATTGAAAAGTGTGGTGAGGTACCTTGAGGGTGTGGTGCGGGAGGGAGGGGCGCGCGGCGCGGGCGAGCGCGCGCGTGACGTCAGCGGCGGCCCCGCACACGATGCCGTACTCCAGCCCCACCAGCGCGCCCAGCCACAGCGTGCAGCCGTACACCACCAGCTCCGTCTCTGCAACACGCGAACACTCTCACCGACTGCACTGCTTTAGTTACGCACCCGCTGCAGGCTCAGTAGTAATTATCGAAGCGAGATATCAATATTACTCTCTCTATCCCACTTATAGGTAAGGTTATAGATTTGTATTCTTTATTACGATTAAGTCTACAAAAAATATTTAACTACGGTAATTACTCCTTCCCGTCATGCATTGCATACTACAGTGTTACAAACTACAAAATCGATTGACCATTACTACGTTGTGTCACAAACTTTTGACATTAGTATATACAGAGTAAAAGAGACATCGTAGTGGATACTGAAATAGTGTGTTTGGACCATCATTTTAAATAGAAAATCATTGGAATATTGTACCGGAAATTTAAACTTTTTATGTCATCAGCTGTCAAAGGTTAAGGTTATTCCCCGTAAATATCGCACAAAAGTAATAACTACATTTATATTCCGTGCAAACAGTCTACACACACTAACACAAGTTGACGGCCAGAAGCAAGGTCCCACACGCTTCGGCTATTTGGTTAATTACATGGCAGTTTTTGAATAATAAAATTTTAAAATGTGATATTTTTGAATTCAATAAAATTTTAAAATGTGATCTGTTCACTCATTGTGATATCATTTTTCATCACTTTTAACCAAAACACAAAAAAACAATGATTTTCGACTTAAAATGGTGGTCTGCATACACTATTTCGAAGTTACGACGTCGCTTACACCCTGTATATATGAGCTTGAAAACTCAAAATAGACAAAAAGAGGCTTACTGCTATTCCGCCACATGGTCCGTATGATCTGCAGCTCCATGAGCGAGAACATGGCGACGATGATGATGGCGGCCAGAGTCGCGCGCGGGATGAAGTAGAACGCGTCGGACATCAGCGTCACCGCCAGCAACACCAAAATGGCTGGTGAGGACTCGTTATTTATCAATCATATAAATATTAATCAAAGACGCATTTTTGAAATGAAACTTCTTTAAAATTGTTGTGATTTGAAATTCGATGAAACGAAAATGAAAAACACAAAAAAAAACAAACAATAAATGTATAGTTGGCGAGAGAATGAGATACAATACATTTACACATTATTTTTAATATAATATTTTGACAGTGTAAATGTTTTTATCTTTTTAAATTAAACGCGAATTCGTTCACGTAGAGTTTAAAAAACGCTGCCTTAGTGGGTTCGTTTCCGGGGCGAGCAACAGTTTATAGGTTTTTCTGAGGTAAATATGTATATATAATAGTCTAAGTTACTTCGTTTAAAGACAACTACCTGGTAGTAAAATATTATCAAAATCGGTCTAGCCGTTGAGAAGTTTATCCAGAACAAACAGACAGACAAAAATTTTTTTTTTTTGTTTTTTAGGCATACTTAAAGACCATGTACGAGTATCGTGCAAATAACCATAAGAGCATGAAAACCCTATTATTTTGACATTACAACCAGACACTTCAATTTTATTTTGTTTTTAATTTAAAAACAAAACGGAAGTTTCATTTCTGCCGTTTATGAATTGCACACACACACACACACACACTTTTTATTTTAAAACTTTCCAAATCAATACACCATAACTCTTTTTTTCTCCTTAACTTAGTTGCATATAAAACAAGTTAGACAAATGAAACTCCTAAGAGAGAATAGACATATGTGTGTACCTTTGAAGAAGCACCCGGCGGGCGTGACGACCCCGCTGGCGTGGTTGATGGCGGTGCGGGTGAAGGAGCCGGTGGCGGGCATGGCCTGGCAGAGCGACGCCAGCACGTTGCACGCGCCGATGGCGAGCATCTCCTGCGTGCCGTCCACCGCCGCGCTGCCCGCTGCGACCCACACCGTACCACACACGTCAATAACCTGCCTTTGACCCTGACCCTGTGACCCAGAGGTCAGGAGAAGAGAAGAGGTTTCGAACACAACCCCATTCCCCCATTTTTTATTGAAACTATTGGTTTTAGCGTAATGGTATACGGCCTATAGCCTTCCTCGATAAATGTAAAACTGTAAGAATTTTTCAAATCGGACCAGTGGTTCCTGAGATTAGCGCATTTAAACAAACAAACAAACTGTTCACCTTTATAATATTAGTATAGACCAGCTGGTACCCGCGACTTCGTTCGCGTGGAGTTTGAAAAGCGCTGCCCTAGTGGGTTCGATTCCCATACCGGGCAAAAAAATCGGTATAGCCGTTTAAATGATTACCCAGAACAAACAAACAGACAAAAAACTGTTTTTTAGGTATAGGTATCGCGCAAATAACGGTGTGAGCATTATATATATACCTATTATTTTAACATTACAAACAGACAATTCAATTTTATTTACTTGTATAGATGTTTAGTGCATCACCGCTAAGTACTGTACTATAGTCAAACCGCCGTAAGCTTGGCCCTCCTGATGGTTTGGGTAATTTTTAAATTGTATCTGAATATAATTTACATGATGAACATAAGGTGATTTTATTAAAATTATTTTACAGTATTAAATTTTACAATTAATCATAAAAACTTACAATACACTGACATTACAATACATTGAAATAAATTCGATTTTTATTACATCGTGTGTAGATTAAACATCAGGAGTTCAAACCTAGTTACATATTTCCGACCAACATCTTACATGTATATAAAACAAATAAGTATTTACTTACCGAACGCCTTAGCGATAGCGATGCTTTCCAGTATAGCGACCAGAGGCATCACGAACCCCTCCACACCAAACACTGATAGCATCTCGTCAAAGTTTAGGGTCTGATTGTTCACCACCGTGTGAAATGGTGGTACACCGAAGTGTGGCAAGCCACCGTGGATTGTGCCTGGAAACATTACATTATGAAAAAATATTAGATATGTAATGGTAGAAAAATAATAACTAACATAAAAAAGTAGTCATCGTGGATGAACAGATATTTTTTTATAAATAATTGTAGCAAAACTATGTTCTTAGGAAGGGAAAATATAGTATTAGCATTACGCAAATGAAAATACTGGTGTAAGGAGTGTCCTTAGTCCTTAGCCATCACGGGTATGTAAATGTTTGATGCGATTGATATCGTACAAAGGAGTGGAATTTTCGTTCCGTTTGTTACGAATGACTTTCTGTTACACTCTTACGTAACGGAAGTGTGTAACAGGAAGTCATTCAGGAAGGAAAAGGAAGTCAATGAAGCAAACTCAATTAGACAGTTTTCAGCGCACGGTGTTAGACGCCAGATGTTAAAAAACATCGATTATACGAGTGTTGAATTCGTTCGTCTTTCTGTCATTTTTTGATTTTACGTAAATACTTTGTATGTTTTTTTTTACTATGCTTTACCTTTTTTTTATTTTTAGAATTTACTAGTATAAATAAATTATATTACTTAACATTGGTATCTTCTAAATATCTGCTAAGTGAGAGCAGTTAAATAAATTCCCACTATGTGCAGATACCAGGGTAGCAGAAGAGTACAGCAGGTATACGAACCTGTAAGAGCGAAAGGGGTGATGTCGTACAGTTGCAGCGCGAAGGCGAGTATGGCGGCCGCGAACACGACGAGCGCGTTCCGAGCGCGCACCACGTTGAGCCACGCGCCCGCCCAGCGCGCCGCGCGCTCGCTCGTCGACGGACTCACCGGGATTGTGGCGCGCTACAACGACCAACCAATTTTCCGAGTGCTAATTGATTTTACATCAACTCCCTGTCGATAGCGAGCGCGTTCGGCGTTGTGATTGGTTAAAATTTCAGTGCGGGCCAATCGCAGCGCCGAACGCGGTCACCGTGACCATCGAGTAGATGTGAAATAAACACGCACTGAGGCCTCATATGGCGCCACTGGTCTACTAAATTGTACTAATATAGCTACAGGTATTTTAACACTGTTAGCTAGTCCTGAGCTCCTAGTACTTTTAAACAAAATGAACTGATCCCACCAAAATTTGTTGTTGGTGACAAACAACAATGTGTAGCTATAAAAACTGAATTCCATTTCAATTCATTAAAATTGGAGTAATTAGGTAAAATTGTATAGTTATAACCTTTATTGATCACTTATACTGAAGTGCACATATACCACATTGTACTGATCACATATATTCAAACCACGCAGTGTTGAAAGTTTATTTATAAAAAAAAAGACTACTTTCCAGAATAAGTGAGCTTTAAATCAGAGACGAAATCATTTATTAGTTACATTAAAACTCTGCTATTAGCCTGCTGGTAGAAACTCAATCCACCCAGTACATTTTCATAGGCATTTAAAGTTAACCAGAAGGATAAACAAGAGTAGTAGTGATATCTTACCGATATTACTAGTAATCTTTGAAATAATTGGAACGAAAACATGTATACGATAATTTACCAAAACTCACTTTAAGTAAGAGCAAAGCCCCGATGGAACATACACCGAGTAACGTGTCCCAGAGCTGCACAGTCTTGATATTCTTGAAGAAATTAATGATAGCTCCAATAAATGTATTACCCGATGAGCCTGGAACGAGACCCAGTAATTTAAGATATATCATCCAAAAACGTCAATCAGTGATTCTCTGTCTATTTCTTCTGTCTTTTGCTGTCACTTTATAAACAAAACATCTCAAAATTTACATGTATATTGTGGAATCCCTTTCTGGCCGTCTTAGGCCGTTTAGGTGATATCCAGGAACACGCGGATATCGCCTCCTCGCGGGCGGCCACACTCATGGTGGCATGAGAGTGTTTTAGCGCTAACATTTTATAAGTATCTTTAGGCACATCATCTTAATCTAAAGAAATAATAACCCTGATCTTCAGAAAATTAGGCTTTTAGAAACATGATCGCTATTCACGGAATGTTTCCAAAATATAGCCTACAAGAACTTGAGCATTTAAACAGCACAAAAAAGTTTTGTTTTTTTATAGATGCGATCGTTCCGGGTCTTCAATTTTAATCAGAATTAATTAAGCAGTTTAATACTTCAAAGAAACTGCAAAATGGTACTTCAACTTTTGTATAGGACTATCAATATTTCTACCTTGTATTCTAAAGAGTGGCTTCAGTTGTGAGGCGCTGATCTGCATAGCAGCTGCTGTAGTAAACCCACTAATAACGGGTTTTGAAATGAAATCCAACAAAAATCCTGAAAAGTAAAAAACAAGCTGAAATAACTAAAAGGTTTACTTACAGAAACATTATTTTGTTTTGTGTTTTTTTTTTGAAGAATAGCATAGATTTTGGGATAGTCAAAAACTTTTATGAGAATCGATTTTTATATTTTTTTCCTGACTTAAGACAGAGCGAATAGAGGTTTGATTAAACGTGTTTTTTCTTTCAATGTCTGGATTAACATGTTTATTTCTACTTAAATTAATGAAGCTGCAATTGAAAAGTTCCAGGGGTGTCCCAACAAAGACCTATAATAAGTATAAATAAGTCTGAACCCATAACACCTCCTTGTGGTACTCCTACTTAAACACTGCTCATAAATTACTTTTCCTTGAAAACTTTAAAATTCAAATGTAGGTATCTGAAAATGCTTTGTAATGTATCATCACTGCCACCAATATCATCAGAGTTGAACTGCTAGAAGGAACATGAAAACATGACCACGATATCTTGAGCTCGAACTAATCATAACGGTTACCAGCTATTTACTTCTGTATACCACAGACAAAGAAGGTTAAACGGTTATTATGTAAACTCTTTTTAATGGTACACAGGGCAAACAAGGAGACGGATCATCTGATCGGAACTGATTACCCTAGACACCTTCTCGAAAGTCACAAGTATGTTGCTAGCATTAGTCGGTCAGTCAGTCATTTAGGGAAATTCACAGTAACGTATATGTATTTCAAGTTATAATTTTTTTTTTATAATGGATTATTTAGACGGTTAGATGGTAACGTAGACTGGAACGTGATGTCTAGAAGATATCACGTTCCAATGTACGTTATAAGTAATAACATGTACGATATTTTTCTAGTCTGCATTAATATGCATGTCACATTAATAACCAAATTCGACTGCCTCGGTGGCGCAGTGGTAGCGTATGCAACTGCTGTGCTGAGGTCTCGGGTTCAAATGTTTGTATGATCTACAAATATTTGTTTCGAGGTTTGGGTGTTTTCTGTGTATAATATGTATGTATTTAAAAAAAAAGTAAAAAAGTACTATATCAGTCAATCTAGCTTTCATAGTACAAGCTCTGTTTAGTCTGAAACTAGATGGCGTTGTGTGTTACATATTGAATTAAATCAATATTTTCAATCAAAATGCAAAAGCTTTATTAGGTTTCCAGTCATGTAAAATTATACGGTCACTCAATAATTTAAATCCCTTTTTTGCATCCAAGTAAGGCTCTTACGAGAATCGATTTAAATAATACATCGTCTCATTTTTATTCCACATGAGTGCGTAAACAAACGTTAAATTTCTCCTGAGCAAATCATTGACCGCTATCAGTTCAACGGTGTGTATATATTTACATATTACATTCGTCGTGGTACTTTCGCCTGTTAGATTAGTTTAAAGGCAAGTGTCTACTCATGAATGGCTGAGACAGAAATCTTATATCGACACTGCATTTATAAGTCTTAAGTATAACTTTATTATGTTATGATACAGTAGTGTAACGACTGCACGGATCGCGTAGTGGTTTAAGCGGTCACCTCGCCACTTTCTACTGCGCTAATTGTTGTGGGTCCCCATATAGAACATCACTTTCTGTGATCCGCAAATTGTTGTCCTGAGTCTGGGTGTTCTTTGTGTCCGTTTCGTGTATGTTTGTAAAGTCCCCCGACACACAAAATTATATTCCTAGTGCAGGAGTTATCTTTAATAAAAACATATTCCAGTAGAACATTAGTGTTGATACACGATTGAAAGAAAATACAAGACCGTTTTAGTGCTCAAATGCCTGAGATTAAATTAAAATTTAACGCATGTCTTAGAATCTAGCAAAGCGAGAGTCAATTGGTATTCTTGATTCTTTTGGTTTCTTTACGAAGAATATTTGTGCCTTGGTTATTATTCAACTCGACTAACTTAAAAGATAAATAATATTATTTAAAAACACACAAAACAAAGTATCCTGTAAATTTAATGCTTTTGGTATATATATTAATAATGTCCCTTTAACACAACTCACAGACGGCCGTCTAGTCCCGAACCAGGCGAGTCCATACTTGATAGTGGGAGAGCCATTCTCTGGCAAAAATAGGCCAGTTCGTCCAGAGTAATACCATGGCCTATCAGAAAACCAGTGAAAATTAGATTCTATAGTTGCTTATCACCGAGTGAGTAAGGTTAGCGGATCCCCAAACCACCTCTGATTCTGCTGGGGACTTAAAGAGCAGCAACTCAGTTGTGCCTTAGCTCGAGCTGCCCATGGCGACGGTAGTCAGTTACCATCAGTTACCCGTCTCCTAGTTTACCCCCTATACCATATAACAATAAGACCCTAATGAGAAAAAATACAAACTAGTGAGTATTATTACTTATTTTTCCTAAACCTAGATAAAAAAAAAACAACAGGAACCGGATTCTATTAAATATTACTTGCCGACCCATACCATAAACATTAACTTACCTAACTGTAATACTCCAAGCAGTAATATAAAACAGCCAGACAGGAAAGACGCCAGGTATGCAAAATCGGCCGATTTAGCGACGTACTTAGCAAGTAGAGCGGCTAAGATTGCTGTAGGGCCTACTGTCACATCCTTGCAACTGCCGAATATCATGTATACGAGACCAGGGAATATGCTGGAATAGAGGCCCACCTGAAAATACAATTACCATAATTAACACACCGAGCCGAATTTTCATAGTAATACATAAGGTAGTATGTTCTTTATATATTCGTATCACAAGATATATGTTTAAGCAATTATGAAGCTAAGTCACTACCGCTGCCAATGAACGCCTACAACTCAAGAGTCATAATTGCTATACCGCGTTTGATTGATTTTGGGCTCCATTAACATCTCATTCGGTAAAAACAAAGAAAAAATACCTTAACATCGGTTTTCTATAGTATTACTCAAGTCAAGCTGTAGACCGTAAGTTTTATGACGTCATTTGTCACTTTTCTTTGTCATTGTGCCATTTCTTAAATTCATTTTTTTACGCATCAGTAAATATACTTTTTGTTATTATTTCTAATTGATTTAAAAAATATGATTTCATTTTGGATAATCTATTGATATATTATTATAATTCCAATAATACTCGTTTAGGTCTCCGTTGAACATATTTTTCTTAATAAAGCCATGACAAGGGCATGATCCTGCATAATTTATTTAAATAATAAGTCATGTAGTTTTATCTTTTGATGTACGAGGAAAACACCTTTTATAAATTATTTGTTCAGTTGGTGGTATTTTGTACCTACATTATTATATAAACATACAATTATTATTTATAAAAGAATATAACGCAAGAAGGTATCTGACTCCCACCGATACATCACACATACTGCCGTCTGATACCAAATTAGCCTGTGTTTCGTGATTGTCACACAACTATTTGTCCAGGGTGGCAATCGAACCCACGACCTCTGGCGTAGCAGTCAGAACCAATAAATAGGCCAGTCAAACATATAGGCAACTATTGTCAAAATCAACAAAGGCATGTATTATTCTTTGATCACCTTATTAAGTCAACATTCGGGATTCTATGTGTACTTGGTTATAAGCAATATTGATCGCGGATACCATTCTACCAGCATCACGAAAAAGAATTACGCCATACCAATCCTAAAGCTACCCTACCGTGCCCTATGCATAATTGCTTCCTGGTATAGTTAGATATGAATATAAGTGTCTAAGTGGTCTAAGTGGTCACATATTACAAGCCAGGTCAGTCTCTGGATGGGTGACCATTCTTAACAAATTGAGACCCCTCCATACCTCGGAAAGCACGTTAAGCCGTCGGTCCCAGTTAGACCGGTATCACCTGTGGAAATCATCACGGGTAGTTCAACTACCGATCTAAGTGGCGTGCAATGGGAGAGGCCTATGTCCAGCAGTGGACTGCGATAGGCTGATGATGATGATGAAGAAGTCCGACAACAGTATTTCTATAGAACCTCGATATCGCCTAGTTCTTGGGTTGTGGAGGTTTGATGGCCGTCGCTCCGCGTAAAAATCGAAGTTCAGCCGTAGCCGAAGTAGACCTAAAGCCGACCCCAACCTAGTTTTTTAAAAAGGCTCGGAGGAAGAAGAAGTGTTCATTAAATTTACCTGAGGTGGCAAACCAGCTACCATAGCGTAGGCGATGCCTTGCGGTATAGACGTCAAGCCCACAGTTATGCCTGCAACACATGTAAAAATATATTTATGACAAAATAACTATAATCGTATTTTTTTAATAAGTAATGATTACATACAACTAAATGAAAATGAACAATCTAAGCATCTAAAGTAGAACATGAAGTAAAATTAAAAGATTGCAAAAAAGAAATTTAATATATCAAAGTTCTCAGATGTCATTAGCTTTTATTAACTCAATTCATGTCCCACGGAGTCGGCAAATAAGCCCCTCCCCCCCCCCTTGCCTATAAGTCTAAGGAATGATATTTATGCTTTTAGGTATATTTAGTATACGAGTATATTTAAAAGTTGTAGAAAAATTATAACGTTATCATTGAAGGCTTTCAAGTTTTGATGATAATATTTTTTTTAAATACAAATCCCGCATTAGGAATATATCCTGTGTCGCGGGGGTCTTTACAAACGTACATGAAAGGGACACAAAGAACACCCAGACTCAGAACAAAAATTTGTGGATCACACAAAGTGTCGTCCCGAGTGGGTTTTGAACACACAACACTCGGCGTAGTAGGAAGCGGCGTGGCGACCGCTTAAACCACTACGCCATCCGTGCAGTCAACGTATGTATGTACCAGGAGTACATAACATTGCTTTATATGACTTTATGTAAATATTTGTGTAAGTTTAGTGAGAGCATCTGCTGAGTATAGATGTGTGTCGTCATCTCTCAGCGAGTTCGTCTGCAAATAAAACGTTCGTTCGTTCGTTCGGCACACAAAACGCTAGTTACGACACTGGTGTGCATAATTTTGAGGGCATAGGATAAGAAAACTAAATTTAAGTAAGTTTTGAGCTAAAAACAGGTCATTAACATCGAAGTTATTATCTAACTCGCGCCTATTACATAAACGTAACCGGTTACATGCCTCGAGTCGTCTACAGTTCGAGGCCAAAACAAATGTCTTACCGGCAATAGCGTCTCTTATTAAATACTCGAAGCTGTACTTTGGAAGCCATATTGTGATCGGGAAACGTCTCTTCCATGACTCCACGCTGCAGAGCTTGGACGCTGTGCGGCGCAGCCTGTTGGTTCTGACGGTAGTGCCTGAGAGAAAGAATTGAGATAGTTAATATTCTATTTACAAATCATTTGGGTTCGGCGTAAATTTGTTACGTTACAGTGGGCTTCAACTGGTCTCTTATATATCAGGCCCCGCCAACCCTCCTTGGTACCTAGAACATGGACATTAACTGACCAACGGTGACAAGGTTTCAAATAACAAACTGACAAACGTTGTTCTGACTTTCACTGCCAGAGTTGCACTTGGGTATGGGTGCTACCACAAAATCTGGTAACGAATCGCGTCCGAAATAATTATAGGCAAAAATAATTTAAAAAAAAAATACAATTTTTTATACATACTGTTGATCGGAACTTACTAAGTGCACATCAAAATTATTGTCACGTTTTTATAAATTGAAAAATTTCTTTAGTATAATAATTTTATACTATTTTTTATGGCACAGGGGGCAAACGAGCAGACGAGTGACCTAATAGTAAGTGACTACCACCGCCCATTAATACTGCAACTCAAGAGTAACACCGGTTGTCTGTGAGGCCGTGGTATCATTCCGGTGGAACCTAGCCGATGTATACCGAACAATAGCTCTCCTACTCCGTCAAAGATTATTTGGACCGCCAGACAATCAGGTTTTAGGCTAAACCGAAACGATACAACTGTTAAACACGTTTGGAACAAATTCTGTGTCGTGGGGGACTTTACAAACATACATGAAACGGACACAAAGAACTAGCAAAAGTTCCTAAAGGCTCCTCTGCAATTTAAGCGTACGTACCACATACGTATTTTAAATTAACCCACCCACAATTGTTTTAATTAACCCACTTCAAAAAGGAGGAGATTATCAATTCGGATGTTTATTTTTTTTATGTATGTTCGGGCACACATATATAAACGGATTTTCATTTTATTTTTTTTGTTCGAATGGGATTATCCCATTTAAATTTCATATTTTTGTCCTGAGTCTGGGCGTTATTTGTGTCCGTTTCATGTATGTTTGTAAAATCTCCCGCGATACAGGATATATCCCTAGTGCGGGAGTTATCTTAAAAATAGAAAAAAAATCTGCCCGCAATTAAAAGCCCCTAATCATTCAATTGGTCTTAAACAACCAGGCAACAAACTTATCCCTAAAATTAGTAGAAAAAAAGCCGTGGCTTTCAAGGCACACTTCACCGCAATATCTATATAATCAGACTGTCAGTCGCGTTTGTACATAATTACAACAGCGGTGATAATCAATCTGATGATATCGTTCAGCATTCACACGGTCAACAAGTTTATCTGTTACACAAATATTAGTGTTGAAGGAGATTGAACCTAGGCATTACAACATAAATACCGCACATACAAATATTTGTATATTTTACATTATATATAACAACTATACCAACCCGTCTGGCCAGCGTGGTATAGTAGGCCAAAACCTCCTTTCTAAGGAGAGACCTATGTCTAGCAGTGGACTATTAAAGGCTGTTGATGATGATGATGATATATAACAACAGAGATAAACTTGATCATGAATGGTGAACATTACCAACCCTTAACAGCAACCCCAACGATTTACTAAGAACAACGAACGTAATGAAACTAAGAAAAATGTGAATTTTGTTGATTTTTTTTTTATTATTTCAGCCGTGTATTTTACAATACATTTTAGCGGGGAGTACAAATCGAACGAGAATTCTTTGCTTTTTTTAAGCGACTTACAAAACACAAAAGAGGAGGTTATCAATTGGTCTGTTTTTTTTGAGTATATTCTTTTTGTTTTCCTAAATTACGTAATGGATAAACATCGTTTTCTGTAATTATCATTTTTATCCTCATTAATCGACTTCAAAAAAAAGAAGGCTTTCACTTTCATGTATGTTCACCAACTACTCGAAGCCCGAACCGAATTGGAAAATTATTTTTGTGTTTTAAAGGGTATACTCGTACTTAAAAGGTGGTTGTATTTAAATTTTATTTTATTCGTTCTGTTGAATAATTGTAATTTTGTTCAGTGTTCCAGCACGTATGACGCTATCGGTACAATTTTTGGGTTTTTATATGTTGGATTCTGTTTTTTGTGTAATAGTATAAAATGGGTAAAATACATGTAAGCAGATCAAAGCGCCTACAACTTCCTTAGCAGTTTATCGTTAAAAACTACATGTAAATGTAAGCTATTATGTGTAATTGCAGTATGGCAGTACTTTTTTAAGTATAATGTTTTATGAAATGGCCTGAAGAATATGCAAAACAAGCTAAATCTTATATATAAAACTAGCGGACCCGACAGACGTTGTCCTGTCAAATTTGACACTGCGATGGTAGCGCCGTCTGTCTGATCCAATGTAAAACATTCCAAAATCAACAACTACTAATAAATTAAAAATTAATTAAAAAAACATTGTCCAGCGGACAAAATTGTGAATCTAAACCATTCCCAGATCCCCTTGAACACACACAAAAAATTTCATCAAAATCGGTCCAGTCGTTTGAGAGAAGTTCAGTGACATACACACTCACAGAAGAATTATATATATAAAGATTCTCGTGTCACAATGTTCGTCCCCGTGCTCCTCCGAAACGGCTTGACCGGTTCTCATGAAATTTTGTGTGCACATCGGGTAGGTCTGAGAATCGGCCAACATCTATTTTTCATACCCTTAAATGGTAAGGGTGACCCATCCCTAATTTTTTTTTGTTTTGCAATACAACGTTTGCCAGGTCAGCTAGTAATGAATAATATTTTCGCACATCTCACACATGGCCGTCTAATCCCAAACTAGGCAGAGCCTGTAGTATAGTAACCAGACTGCTGATAAACATACTTATATATTTCTAATTACATACCATGTTATAGTTAATGTACACCCACACACAGAACAAATGACATTGCTCATCAAACAATTATTTGTTCTGGGTGCGAATCGAACCCACGACCTCTAGCGTAGCAGTCAGGGTCACTAACCACTAGACCAACAGGCCAGTCAATGATAGAGAGATATAATCATTATTACTTAGGTTAGTATAAGTTATTTCAACGACGCATCTATAATTACTAATATTATAAGCTGAAGAGTTCGTTTGGTTGAACGCACTTATCTCAGGAACCAATAGAGTTCGAATTGAAAAATTATTTCAATGTTGGATAGCCGATTTGTCGAGGAAGGCTATGGGGGGTATGATATTATGGTACGAAAAATAGGAGCCGAGCATTAACGAAAAAATGATGCAATATAAAAAAGTTTTTTTTTTTTTTGATCGACGCAGACAATGTTGCGTCGGTCAGGTAGTCTAATGCCTAGTTTACATGCGTGCCGAGTCTTGGCAAACGTCCATAAACTACAAGTCTACAAACGCTTGGATGCCATTTAATATTCTCTAGCCCTACTCCTCAACTAAACTGCACAATCAGTCAAGCATTGAGACTTAATGTTGATTCAAGACTGCTCAACTACAATATTTGTAGTATCAAATTGAGCAGTAGGGAACAAGCACGCGCCAACGTGTAAATACATCGCAAACGCTTGCCGCGAACTTCCTTTGATCTGTGTTCAAAAACCGACACTAGTACCGATCAACGACGAGCCAAACACCCCGTTTACACGCTTGTGTATGTGGACACTTGTCGAGGCTCGCCATGTAAACGGCCTATAAGAATACTTCCCCTGAGTTGAAATATTTTATAAATATACAGACATATCCAGGCCTTAGAACGCCTTAGAACACAACAAAAATAAAAGAAATCTAAACCAGTTTTAATTAGAAAACATAGTGCGTCAATTCTAGATTGTGGAATGAACATTATTAGAGAGAATTTATTATAATGGGTTCGAAACAACCGGTGTCCTGGCAAGCAGCTGGCAAGCACTGACGGTTTCTAGTGTCAAATAAATTAATTCATACTTTTGTGTGAAATTTATCCCGGAGTGGTTCCATATCTTATCTCAAGCTCTGGTGTATAACAAAATACCACCCGCAATAATCTAAATTTGTTGATTTTCATATCTGTCAATCTAGATTTTAAAATTGACGAATGGAACAGATCTTTGTCTTCCAAGTCACATGATTGAAGGTACCAATAACAGCATATGTGTTACACGCCAATCCAGGAGGGACCTAATGTCTCTCTCCTAACTCTATTCTTAAATGATTCATGACTTTAAAGGTATAGGAAAATAGAATCAAGTAGTTCATATCAGACCTTGGTGAGTTGGATCAAAAAGGAGCTCTCAAAGTGCTCAGTTCGAGTTTTTGCTCTCAACACAAAGAAGGATGGATCTGCGACTGCCTTGGTGGTGCAGTGGGTCTCAAGTTCGATTCCCGGGTCGGACCAAATGTTTTTATAAACACCCAGAGTAAGAACAACGGCGGCGGATAATTGTGTGGTCTTATGTAGGGTTCGGACCCACAACACTCAGCGCAGTAGGAAGCGGCGAGGTGACCGCTCAAACCACTACGCCATCCGTGCAGTCAATTACACAATTACATTGTAACATGACAATGAAAATTGTTACAATTAAACATGTTATACTCGTAACTAACAAATATCTTCACGTCATTAAAAAAGAACTAGAATTTTTCCAGTTTTTGTTTGTACTTTTTACGATGTTTTTGGAGGTTTATATGAAGCTGAAGTTATGTATATCCGAACTTATGTTGCGACGTATCTATTATACGGCTGAACCGATTTTGATGAAAGAAATATCCTCAGGATCTGGATTTTTGCGTAAATTTCACCCATTAATTGTGTTTTGGCGCCAAAGCGTGTTTTTTAAAACAAATTAGTGTATCAAAATGAACAGTTTTAATAGTATTTTTCTGCATTAGTGAGTGATTAAGTTGTTTGAGTGAACAATTTTGTGTTTCATTCCTACGTTCAATTCCTATATTACTTCTACAAACTCTTATATTGAAGTTACTTGTTGCTAAGTTTAGTTTGTTTCGGCTATTGCAAGCAATAACTTCAGCAGTTGCCGGATCCCTCCTATTACACGCGCAGAGTGGCACACCGTGTGGTTTTAGTCGGTCCGAA